GGTTTGACGAGTTTACCTAGATATGCTTTTTTTTTGTTTTTGATTCTTTAATTATTTTTATTTTTTTAATCAATTTTGCCCTTCAATATTAGATTGGTTTGTAAATAAATCACATGATTTATTTTTATTTGCTTTCTATAATTATTATTTCTATAAGTTAGTGCTTAATTTTATAAATATATATTTTTATCATACAATTAAAAAAAATATTTATAAAAAAATTATTAAATTTAATGGGATCTATGACATAGGTCATTGGGGGACTCAATTTCAATATATCCTTATTTTAATAATTTTTTTAAAATAATTATCACATTGAAGTTTTTTTACATGCTAAATTATATTTTTATTAATTATTAAATTTATATTTATATCCATAAAATCAATTATTTTAGTTCGGCTACCTCCAGCGTAATTTAGTTTACAACTAGAGTTAAACAAATAGGTGGTAAGATTTCAAAATTTACCCATTAAACTATATTTAATTATACAACTAAAAATTTATTAGCACTTTTAATATTTTAAAAAATTAGTTGAAACCGTTGAACCCAAACGGCAAATAAAATAGTACATACGCAAATTTAATTAAGTCGTGTAATTTTTCAAGCTATTAATTATAATTCCAAATGCTTAAGTTTCCAAATTAATAATAATAACAATAAAAACAACCTTTACATGCATAAAATAAGAAGCATTGGCATTTAGCCCGTAATGACAAAACAATATCAAGGGCTGTCATAATAAAAAACCAACCTTAATTTTTTTGAAAAAGTTTCCCGAGCTCTACCTTCTCCGTTGCTATTAATATCCAGAATTCAACCATCTACAACGGTCTTCTCTCTCTCTCTCTCTCAAAAATAAATAAATAAATGAAAATACCATTTTCTCTCTGGAAATAGTCTTTCTATTTTACTCTTCAAAACGCTCTCTCTCATTATTATTTTAAACCTTAATTTACCATTGTTTGATTCAGTTATCGATTAAAATTAGAGAGAGAGGTGAAACTGCGAGGCGGAATGTTTGAAACGGCAATGCTGGAGTTTTTAGTGCCGGGAGATCTAGGTGACGGTGGCGGCTGCGATATTTTTGATCGCCGCGTACTGGTCTTTCTTGTGGAGGTGGCAGAGATGGTGGTGGTGATTTAGGAGAATTTTGGACATGGCATTGATGATAAAGACAAGGATAGCTTACGGGTTATTTTTATGTTAATCTTGATAACTATCTTTTTTTAACTTTGATTTGTTCATTCGATGAGATTTTTTTTAATGTGCTAAGATAGATTTTTGTGGTTTTTAGTTTGTTTTCAAGAACTCAATTTCGTGTGAAATCTTGAAATCTTAACGTTAATTTTTTTAATATGTTTTTTGGGTTTTAAATGTATAATTTTATTCTGTCTTTATTTTTATTTGATTTTTTATTGTTTTAGATAATTAGTGTTATCGTTGCAGAGTGTCTGAATGCCTGAAGATTTTTTTCATGAATTTTGTGTGGGCAATGTCATTGATCCTTTGAAAAAGTCCAATCTTTTTTCAAAAGAAAAAAACAAAATAAGACTCTGATGTGTAATTGGTCTTGAAGATCCACTGGCTCGTAAGCATGAAGAAGGATTCTGTTGGCAATGAACCCGAAAACCTTACCTAACCTGACATTCTGGCTTCTTGGAGAGAAATTGAGGCACTTTATGAATCTGGCAAGGCTCGTGCTATTGGAGCCAGCAACTTCCCATCAAAGAAGCTCGGAGATCTTACAAGGTACAAATCGCAAAATGGATTTTGTCAACTCATGCGGTTGACAATGATGTTACATAAATGTTGAAATATCTTTTTATGTCTTGGAAGATGAAATGGTCGGCCATTTCCTTGTTTTTATTGCTCTCTGCATTAAGCATATTCATGTAATTCTGTGTACTTTATTCACCTGTCAATTCCCTGCTTGACAACCACCATTACATGCTAGTCGATTTTTGATGGGAAGTGGGAATGAAAGAGGTGCAGTTGCAATCTTGTTGAAATCTACTGATGAACTGAATGACAGTCCTCTGGGTGCAAAAAGTGCTAGTGATGGATATGAATTGCATGTTAATATTTTCCAAGTTGTCCCTTGGTATATTAGGGTATATTATCATTCTCTCCATTTGTTTGTGGATGATCAAACCAAACCAAAGGCAGTCGGAGCTTTTGTGGAAAAGATGCGTGTTTTTCCTTCCAAAGACAAGATATCACCTGGTATGATGCAGATGGTTCTGAAGCTTCCTTGTGGTGTGAAATCAGCTGCTTTGATATTAGAGTTTGATTTAAGGTAGGCTTAGCACTTCATTGTTTTCTAGTTTGATTCAGAAAAATACAGTGGATTGATGAATGAATTTAGTGTGGAAAAATATTTGATATCGTGAGAAACCAGCCTATGGATACAGTGACAAACGGCAAATAGATTATAATTTCCTGGCTGCTAGATATTTTTATAGCCTCAGCTTTTGGATAATTAACTTGAAATTTTGTCAATGCTTTGCGTGGACATCCTTTGTTAATCTGCCCAAAACTAAAAGCACATTATGGTAGCTTTCTCAATGAACCTATGGGGGCATTAAACTAAGTCATGTAAATGCTCCATTTCACTGAATCTTGCTATTCTGATGATTTTCAACTTGTAAATTGATGCACAGAGAAAGATACTACTAGTCTAACATAATGGAAAAACATTCTGTTATGAATGATCACATGCACACAGAACAGTTTCTTATACTGCCAAACTGTATTTTATTTGTGTTTTTCATCTGCTTTTTACGATAAACAGGGATGTTTTGCACATTGATGATTACCCTCCAGATGCTAATATACTTGTGTTTTTCATCTACTTTTTATGATATGTTAACAGGAATTTTAATAACCTTACCCAACTTCCATGCAAGCATATTTTTCCCTAGCAATGAATGACTCTGTGAGAAAGTCACCCACGCTGTCTAAATTTCAGGTGATATGATCATCTAGCTGGATGACAAGTCAAGTTTATTTGATTGATTATGGATCTGTGATGCAGGAAAAGAGTCCTGTTCTCTCTTACACTGAAGTATTACTTGTACCTTTGACAACTCCTGATTTTAGCATGCCGTACAATGTCATCACAATCACGTGCACTGTATTTGCTCTGTATTTTGGGTCACTTATCAATGTACTTGGAAGAAGGGTTGGAGAGGAGGAAAGATTCCTTGAAAGCAAAGGTAACTTGTGTCTCTTGGATTGTGTTTGTTGTGACTAGAATATGGTCTATGAATGGCCCTCTCTCATGGATTAATTCAATATTTACAATCTAAATATCGGTGATGGTGAGTCAACAAAACTCTTAAGTTGCTGGATTGGATGCTAGTTATATGATGATATCCACAAATTAAAATATGTGCATGGTATCCAAGACACATGTTCTGAGCTGATTATTTTCAATTCTAGTGACAGTGTCCTTCATTCTCAAACAGTTTTAAATTGTTCTGGCTTGGCTCCTGATCTTTATTTTTTTCGTTCCCCCTATTTGCAGCTGCTGCAAAAACTGGTCGCCTTTCTGAAATGGTGTCTATACATCTGCCAGGATTAGAGGAAGATCAGAGGATCCTCCCAAATCACCTTCAGATTCATCACCGTTGATGAGTTCTAAATTAATACTTCAAGTCTTGTTCGTGGCTGCACTTGCTGTTGCATGGTGATATTATTTTGAATGACAACACCAGAAGGTAAGTGGAATGATCTTTTCTAGCATTAAACCACGTGCTGTCCTCCTCTATAATTTGGAAATCTGTTTTTATAAGGATTTGGTGAGCAGATCATCCCCATAAGCATCATCACCAATCCATCCCTGATTGATTCTTTCATCCATTTCAGATGTACCTTTTCCCAAGTGAATGAATTTAAAAACTAAGGTCGTTAAGTTGCAGAGTGTACGTATCTGGAAGGAAACAGTCTATGAAATGCCAAAAGCTTTATCACATAGACAAAAGCTTTATCACATAGACCTCAATGTTAATCTCAAATTAAATCAGGAACTCAATCAAGCATAATAACGAGCTAGTGAAATGGCAAATGCATAATAATTTGAAGATTAGTCCAACCTATTGGATTTCATCCATCCTTATCGTGAGGTTTGATTGAGCATCTATATGATTTTTAGTGTTTGATAATCATATCATTAAGTTTCTTGTAAACTTTACTCTGGGTTTGTTTGATTTTAAGTGTGTTTTGTAATGCAAGGTGTTTTTTAATTTAAAATCTATAAAATAATAATATATATATTTTTTAATTTTGATATTAATAAATCAAAATACCTAAAAAATCACCTCGATTTAATATTTTTTTAAAATAAAAAAACAATTTAAAAAGCAATTTAAAAAGCAATTCTAACAGCTCCAAGAGAAAACTTTTATTGATTTAAAGAAACGGTACATCAATAGTTTTTCTGAAAACACTACCTAAAAGCAAAACCATTCAAGTTGATTCCATCTCCTTCAATCTTGGAAAGAAATGCAGATTGTTGGGCTATTTTATTTTTAATGTTATGTATTTTTCCTTTCTTTTTCAAGTTATGAAAAAGAAATAAATAAAATCAAACTATATAAAGCATGCTTAATTCGGTTTTAAGAAAAAAAAGGTATCAAGTAGTGGGACTCATGCTAGTCCACATTATCATTTAACATCTAAAATTGGATGGAGGGACATGACTAGATAACAGAAACGTTAAGGAAATTAATTGATGAGAAATGACATTGAATTTTTTTTTTTTTTATATATATATATATATATATAACACAGAAGCGCTTTGAGCTAATTATCCCAATGATCTTTCTAAATTTAAAAAAAGCAAAAAATTTCTATACAATCCTCTACTTTTATTTAATTATTTTTGTTATTTTCATTATTTTTCTTGATTGAGTTAATTATATTTTGATGTGTGAATCCTTCAATTTTTTTATACGAGTATATCAATTTTTATTTTACTATTTAAGTGAGTATACACATTGAGTTGCAGCTTGATTATGTAGGTCTATATCTAGTATGTATACACATTGAGTTATACTTTTATTAACATTATGCATTAAATTTTCTGGGTCTGCCTTTCAACAATTTTAGAAGTAAAATCCTCAGTCATAGCATTTCTTTCTTGGTCAAACTTTCCTGAATTGTTTTTCATCATCTTGAAGATCCACTGGCCAGTAAGCATGGAGAAGGATTCTATTGGCTATAAACCTGAAAACCTTACCCTACCTGACATTCTGGCTTCTTGCAGAGAAATGAGGCACTTTATGAATCAGCAACTTCTCATCAAAGTAAGCTTGGAGATCTTCTAGCAGTAGCATGTGTCTGTCCTGCTGTGAACCAAATGGAATGTCACCCGGTATGGCTACAGCCAAAGCTTCATTCATTTTGTCAATCCGAGGGAGTTCACTTATCTGTGAGTATGAAATAGGACCGCTTGAGTAGTAGTCTTCTTGTGGATCTTTGAAAAAGATTGATATGAAGATGTTGGCTCCTTATTATGTATCCCTTTTAAATAAATTTTCTCCTAACCCTTTACAACAACATATTGATTTTGTTGTTAAAGGTTTTCAGATTTCACTTTGGTGTCCAGATTCTCACAAGGGCATATGAATAGATGAAGGATGTTCTAACATATTCAAGGATTTAACAGTCTGTTATTCATTTTGAGTTAAACTTTTTTTCTTCTTTGAAGTGCTGGATTTATCATTGCTGCATTATTATTTTCTGTTGCCACCGCTGCCGCCAATGGTTTGGAACTATTACACCAAACCAACTAGACCTAGGGAGCACTGGTCTAGCTTCTGTTCTTTGTGCTGTCTAAGTGATGGTGTTTATTGTAGTTTATCTTTTGGAATATCTTGTCAAGAGCTACTGACTTTGCAATATTGATCTCTCTCCTGGTCTGTTTATAAATCTTTATTTTCTAATGCAATAAATCTACTCATTTTAAAGGGGAAAAAGTCAATTTATAATTACTGTGATGGTGATTTGTCTTCCTTTGTTTCCTTCCCTCCCTGCTCTTTTTAGGGGTATGCACCATTAGGTTCTGAAGGTTCGCAGGAGATCAAGACTGAGGTTCTCAAGAATCCAATTCTTAAAGTGATTGCAGAGAAATTAGGCAAATCCCCTGCACAAGTGGCTCTCCGGCGGCGACTACAAATGGGCCATAGTGTGTGCTACCTAAGAGCATAAACAAGGCAAGAGTCATAGAAAATGTTGACAATTCTCAAGAATGTTGACCTCACTTGTTTCTTTGCTCCGGTGGAGAGCTGAAACTCTCAAATATGAGGCTTGTCTCATTGATGATCTTATGGCATGTTTCACAAATGTGTATCTCATTTATATACTAGTTTCTTTATGTTACACATGACATAGGTCGTTGTGGTTTTTAGTTTGTTTTCATGAATTCAATTTCGTGTGAAATTTGTATATCTTAACGTTAATTTTTTTATATGTTTTTTGTGTTTTAAATTTATAATTTGATTTTTTCTTTATTTTTATTTGATTTTTTCTTGTTTTAGATAATTAGTGTTCTCGTTGTAGATTGTCTAAATGCTTGAAGGTTTTTTCATGAATTTTGTGTGGGCAATGTCATTGATCCTTTGAAAAAGTCCAATCTTTTTTCAAATAAAATAAAATAAAACTCTGATGTGTAATTGGTCTTCAATGATTAATATTTTCAATGCAAATAGTTTGATTTCTTTGTTTATTGTTGGTGGGAAAGTATTGATTTGGTTTCTGTCTCATGTTGTTGGGTGATTTTCTTGCAATTTCGTTTCATTGCTCTTGTGGATATCAACACTTCTACTTTCCTTGTCGATTCAAGGAAGTTTATGGTGGATTTCTAGGTTTTTTTCTTTCCTTCACTTGTTATTGGGTGATTTTTTGTTTTGGACCAAGAAACCGAAACGATCATGTTATGAGAAATAATTGAGGTAGGTGACGAGGTACTAAATTTTATGCTTAAATGTCTTATTTTGTATTTATTGTTTTTAATGTGAGATTATGATTTATGTATCCTTACTTCAATGAGATTATGTTTGTACTTCAATGCCTTTGTGCAGAGAATCAGAGAACTTCTTGTCAATAGAAAGCCATAAATTATGCCTTGTTAATAGCTATTAATATATATATACTCATAAATAGGAAAGTAGATTTAGTTTACATGTGTAGCTTCCTAAAATCACCCTAGGTAATTAGCATGTAGTTTCCTTGTATACCTGCTTTGGAGAACTCTTGCGTGGGAACAACGCCTCAATACTCAAAATATTATGGAGGAGGCATGCATTGTTTCTAATACTGTCTCAGTTGCCTATGTTGCTTATGGAAAGGTAAAGGGTCGTGACGTGAGCACCGCACGGTGCTATAGTTGCAAGAAATATGGCCATCTTACCCCTAATTGTCCTCAAATTTTGTAATTACTGCAAGCAGCAAGGGCACATTATTAAGGATTGTATTGTTCGTCCTTCACGCTCTAATAAAGTCTATCATGTTGTTGTTATTGGTAGACTTATAACCAGCTATGCCTATATAGGTGGTTGTAATGTTTTCTTCCATGGTTTAATTTTTAGAGATAGTTATTAGAAACCAACAAGGCTGCTGAGCGGCAGCTGAAATTATTGAAGAAGTGACAATCTGGTAAAACATATTTCTTGTAATATTTGGCAGTAGCTTCATTCTACTCTTTGTGCATGTTTTTGGCACGTTTCAAACTATGGTTAATTTATATATCAAGAAAGGATCTTTTGTGATCTTTAGTCATAAGGCATTGCTGTCTATACTCTAAATTATTGGCATATGTCTCTGACTATGAGAAACTATCTGAAGCTTTTGTGGCCTTCCAAGTTACTACCATATTTATGATCTGCTTTCTGATAGGCCTCTCGCTTGCTATCATGGATGCCTATATGTTGATGGGTGTATGGTAATATATTGCCCCTAAGGTTTATGTATAGTCGTTACTAACTCAGATGGGTGACTGTTTGGAAGAAAATAGTTTATTATCGTTTATTATTGCCACCCGTTGCACTAGAGGTGATAGATTGATGTTGCACTGATGTCCTGGCCTCGATCCCCAGGAAAAATAATATTACTTATCATTGAAAAATGAGTAAAGAAAAAGAAAAGAATTATTCCTCGTGCTTTTACAATGTCTATCTGCTATCTATGATTTATTAGGATACTTTATGAGTATTAACATTAGTTTCTGTTGCTATGAAGGCAAAGGTGATGGTGTAGAAGCAGAATCAGGAGCACAAGAAGATTTCCTCATCCAGGATGAGATTTTTATATCTTGTCTAGTGAGCATCCAGCATGGAAATCATTCTCTATCTCCATGCTGCATTTTGCAAGTATTGCAAAAGTTGCAAGCGCTTCTTTATACATGCATCCCTTGTTATTGAATTGTTGATTCTCTGTAGGAGGAAGAGATAATTTTGCGTGAGAGAGACCGCTATGAACTGGAAAAGGGACGACTTATATGTGATTTGAAAAGGATACGAGATGAGGATGGTTATGTTTTAATAATTTTCAGATTTTAAATAACCAATATGCCCTTTTAAACCTTCTTGGGAAAGGTCAGA